AGTTTTGCATGTTTTGACTTCCAGAATAATTAATTTATTCAAACCTCCACAATCGATCATACGTCGGAAGTAGGTATGAATCAAGATTGTCATGAATTGGGTTTGTAGATGCCTTAAAGGTGTTTAGACATGGCAATGGTTGCTGCAACATTCATGAGTACTCATAAGTTATGAGTATTGGTATAAACCCACGCCCACTTGTATCACTTCATGGAATTTATCTCGAGTGATCGTGAGACGAGAACATCATATAAATCTTTAAACCTAGAGATATGAGTTGTTAACTATGAGTTGGTTGTGCATTGATTGCACGTAAACGCATCAGTAACTTGATGTGATAAAACATGCCTTTGTGTACAATTCAATAAGTAGTAGAACAAGCATATCAGTCGAAGTTTATCTATTCCTTCTAGAAATACAAGCGATATCTGGGCCCCTCGATGATTTTGTGTTGACCCATGTACCAGGCCTGGTCAGAACTAAACCGATGTGTTCAGTGAAGTTCTTCGTCAAACAAATCGGTAAATCGAGAAACAACTGCTAGACGATAAGCAAGACATAGTTCCATGTGTTTGTCCGGCTGATATCATAAGAACAGAGGATTATGTGATCACTTATCTAAAATGGCGCTTCATAGTTCAACAGAGTCTTCATAGTTCGAGGGAGTTTTCGAGAGCTACGATTGCTGGTTGGTTCCAGAAGTTATAGGCAAATACAGTTATTAGACTTATCCAAGTGGGAGTCTGTTGGATAAGGTGTCTAAGTCCATAACTTATTTGGTATATACTTGACCCGAACGGCATGGTCCATTTGGGTTGCATCTCATCCAAACTATTATGGATAATTTTATGAGAGTTATACACATATGTTTATTAATATATTATGAGTTATAATATATTAATATGAAGTTACGTTATTTAATTAGTTTTAGTCTTAAATTAATTATGAATTAATTTAGAGATTAAAAGGAAGACTAATTAGATTATGGGCTATTTGTTTTATATAGTGTGGGCTAATACTCATTTGTTAATGGGCTAGGCTTATGTGGAAGTCCATGGATGATCCGTGGAGCTTTTAACCCATGGATCCATGGAAAGGAAAAGACATGGGTTATTAGGGTTTCACCCTAACCATGCACACTATATATGCATGCTTATGGAGCATGAAATGGGGCCTAAGAGGAAACTAGTGAACTAGTGTGTATGTGCTTGCGTGTGGCCGATTTTATACAAGTGTGTATACTCTCTCAAAGTTTTCCAAGAGTTTGTGGTGTTTTGTGATTCCATTTGAGGCATTCACACTATTGGTGCTTGGCCCTCAAACTCCTTAGAACCAAACTCACCAAAAGGTATGTAATCTCTTCTAACTCTTTTATGTTGAAATGTTCCCCATGCCATGTTAGATAGGTTATAAACCTTGGAAAATTTATTATTTTGCATGTATTTAGACAAACATAGATCCAAGGTTTATTAGGGTTGCATGCACACTTAGGAAGTGTTAGATTGCTCAAAACCCAACACTTACGACTCAAAGCATCGGTGACCATGTTAGCCTTCCCTGGGTGATATAAATCTCACAATCATAATCATTTATTATGTCCAACCATCTCCTCTAATGCATGTTGTGGTTCTGCTAATCCATTAAATACTTTAAACTCTTGTGATTAGTGTATATGATGCACCGCACTCCATACAAATAGTGCATCCAAATCTTGAGGGTGAACACCACTATCCCCAATTCCAGGTTGTGAATGGGGTAATTTGCTTCATGGGGCTTCAACTGCCTCGAGGCGTATGCGATCATGTGCCCCCTCTGTGTCAGAACTGCACCTAACCCCGAAATCGATGTGTCACAATACACCACAAAATCGTATAACCCCTCAAGTAGCACTAGAATCAAAGCCTCGTATAACCTCCGTCTCAGGGTTTCAAAAGACATCTGTTGATCCATGGCCCACCGAAAGGTCACATTCTTCTTGGTCAAACGGGTCAATGACACAGTAGTCTTAGAGAAATCCTGGATAAATCTCCAACAATAGCCCGCTAGACCTAAGAAGCTACGAATCTATGAGGCGCTCTTTGGTATTTCCCATTGTATCACAGACTCAACCTTGGCTGGATCAACCGAAATGCCATCCTGATTGATCATATGCGCCAAAAACTATACCTCTCGCAGCTAGAAATGACACTTGAAGAATTTTGCATAAAGCTTCTCCACCCTCAGGGTTTCCAGTACCTCCCTCAAATGCTGCTCATGCTGCTCCCTGGTGTTAGAATAGACCATATATCACTAATGAAAACAATCACCGACTGATCCAACATCGGTCTACAAACCCTATTCATAAAATCCATGAACGTTGCTGGGGCATTGATGAGTTCAAACGGCATCACCACGAACTCATAATGCACATATCGAGTCCTGAAATCCATCTTCAGTATATCGTCATCCCGAATCCTCATATGATGATATCCCGACTGAAGATTAATCTTGGAAAACCAGGATACACCTTGCAGCTGATCGAACAAATCATCGATTCTTGGTAACAGATAACGGTTCTTCACCTTAGTTTGTTCATCTCCCTATAATCGATGCATATCCTGTGCGATCTATCCTTCTTTTTCACTAAAAGGATTGGTGCTCCCCACGGGAAACTAGTCGGACATATGAACCCTCGGTCTAGCAACTCCTGGATCTATGTAGATAGTTCCTGCATCTCAGGTGGTGTCAACCGATATGGTGCCTTTGCTATCGAGGCGGCACCAGGCACCAAGTTAATGCGAAACTCCACCTTCCTCTCCAGAGGCACTCCCACAGCAATCTCAGCCTTGAATTCCCTAAGCCTCTCCTCCATGATATCCATCATACCCTCCTTGACCGTCCTAAAAATGACTGGGGTGGCTTCAAGGATGCCCCTGGTAACCTCGGCTGTAATAAGCTCGCGCAACCTCTCATCAATGACATCACTAGTGTCTCCAGATCCTGCCCCAGATCCGAATTCTGATCTTGATCCCCCTGCTCCAAATCATGTAACCACCATGTTGAACTGAAAAGTCATAAATCATAACGATCAGGATTTCCATACAAGGGATCTTCCCACCCCTTAAAGTCGTCGCATCTAGCATAGGTTCGGGTATAGGTCCTGTGTTTTTAGTAGTACGGGCCCAATACTATTTTCCAAATCTACCTGTACCCTTCCCCAATTCTCTACCTGATAAATCCAATTCATCCTAGAAGTGAACCATATTCCACAAACTACTGCATACATCAAATCTCAGGTTGTCCTAAGATTTTCTCTTCCCATGCCAATCTGATCAATCATAACAGGTTGCCTTTATGCATGAAAATTATATACAAAAATGATCAAATAGACTTCCAAATAAAAGATTCTACCGTAGGACCACAACCATACAAGGAACAAGAAATAAGGCCAAATCAATCATTCTGAGGCTATAAGCTCCTAACTGAATACAATTTTAAAGTATACACATAGCAAATTCCATACAATCATAAAAACTCAAATATCAGTATAACATAGTTATTACATTGGGGAACTACTTACTTGGCCCGACTAATCACGCGCATTTCACTCTCACGTTTTCTTTCCTTAAAAGCTTTTTATTTGATTTTGTTTTTGAAAACAATTTTCTTTTTACCATTTCCTTAATTTAAGTCCTGAAATGCCCAAGGGTATGTTTGAATCCCTCAAACCAAGGCTCTGATACCAACTTGTAACTATCCAATTTTCCAAAGAATTTTTTTTTTCGTTTTAAATTAATCAAACATATTTCCATAAATCATGAAATTCCATTAAACTGCTTTCAAATTCGTACTCATTATAGTTTTATTTTCAAATATTAGAGTGTCCCATAAAAATGCCTGAGAGAGAGTGCACGTCACGCCATCAAGCATTGCCCTTGCCCTTGGGCTCAGATGTACCTAAAACAAAACCACAAACTATAAGCTAACGCTTAGTGAGTTTCCAAGGGCATACCCCACACACAAGCAACATAGCATACATCATAACAACTATGAAGACTATCTCTACCACATATTCCATAACGTTTTAGCTATAAAGCTATATCTACCATTAGTCATAAAGGCTATCTCTACCGTTAGCTATAAGAGCATTAATCTCTACCATTAACCATAAATGATATCTCTACCGTCAGCTATAAAGCTATCTCTACCATAGCCATAGAGGCTATCTCTACCATATTTCTCAACAAAATTATGCCACATACCTCTACACAACGAGCATACCAACTATCATAAAAAGGGTCGGCCTTGGTGCTTTAGACCCATCAGTATGGTGAGAAGACTCACCTCTCGAATGCTCAACTGGTAAGCTGAAGTCACATATGTCCCGCGCTACTTCTTCTCGACTACCTATAATCATCAAGTGATTTACTTAACACAAACCCATAATACCCTCATAGTCAACCCTTGACAAAGTCAAAGTCCATAGCCAAGCTCAACAGTCTATGTTGACCTCAACTCGTCGAGTATAATCGGTCACTCGTCGAGTTCCTTGCATAACTCGTCGACTCGCCGAGTCACTAGAGTGACTCGTCAAGTCCCCTCCCAAACTATCAACCACAAACACATGGACGAGAACCATATGGTCATAAACTCCTTGGTCGTGCACGCTTAGCCGTAAACTGTTAACTGTAAACCCGACTCGTCGAGTTCATAAAGCGACTCAACGAGTTCCCTTAGTTCATTTCGTTTTTAGTCCTTTAGAATGGAATATGGAGTCACAAACTTCAGATCCAACCTTTCTTATCACGAATGTCACGTAAAATTGCAAACTTTGCATGCATGCAAGGCCTCACAATGCTAGAAGGTCAAAGGTATGCTTTCAACAAGGTTTGTGTGCATGGGAAGGGTTAAGCTACATAAAGAGAGCAACTTTATGACTTTAGGGACCTAAAAAGGTCCAGATCTGAAACTATATCCCATTGATACGTCCAGAACTAAACTTGGACTCCATTTACCCTAAAATGGACATGTACTTGGGAGAGGAGAGATCTAAGAATCTACATTTCAAGGTAACGACTTTTTACCTTAAAATGATGCCTAATGCAGTGTACATGCCGGATCTACTACTTCCCCTCTTGTTCCTTCTTCTAAATCTCTTCTTTAACACTCCAAGTTTGCTAAACCAAGCCCTTACTCGTACTAAGGAGGGGGGGGGGGGGAGGGGGTTTCACAGCTGAGAACATCTCTCTTAGGGGTATAAGATGCTAAGGGAGGCCACATGTGTAGATAATGATCCTTATATAGGGACTTCCGACTCGCCGAGTAGATAATGCCCCTACTCGGCGAGTTGGACTCGCAACTCGCCGAGTCCATGCACAAGACCCCTTAAAAACTATAATTAACTTTTAGAATCAGGAACAGATGTTACACTAGACATAGATTGTCATTTTGTAATTTTACACTTTCGTTCGGGTTGTTTCGATTCTATACAACATATTAAAATAGTTTTTATGATTTACTTTTGAGCTTCTTTTTAAATGTTTTTACATTTGAATTTTTTTAAATGTTTTTATAAATTTTATACAACATATTAAAATAGTTTTTATGATTGTATATAATTTTTTTTTTACATTTTTACTTACCTTTTATACCATTTTTACTGTATTTTTATAACTTTATAAATATAAAATACTCTTTTTTGGCAACATTTTAAACTTTTCCACAACTTTTTTATAATGTTTTTTTACAACTTTTTTACAAGGTTTTCTAACTTTTGTACAATGTTTTTGAAAATTGTTTTATATATTTCCTTTTATATTTTCATATAACTTTTGAAATAATAACTGATCATTTTTGTTGCTCTAAGATTCAATATATGTAAGTATCGATTCTTTATAGCTATGATATTTCGATTTTTCTAATATCTCTTTCCATATTCATAACGAAGCTGGTTTTACGTGTTTTGGTTGATTTTTTGGGTTGTTAGGTTTTAAAGGTTTGATATATTTTCATCTTTAATCTAATTTTTTGTTGGTTGTAAAGCAATTTTAAGTTAATCTAAATGTTTACAAGAAATTTTTTCAAAAGGTTGTATAAAAAGTTGTACGTTTTTTATTTATTTATATATTTTTTTAATTTAAATAAAAAAAAGGTGTAAGAAAGTCTTAAAAAAAAGATAATTTTTAAACACTAACTAATTTTATAATGAATTTATAAAAAACAAAATCAAGGTTGGACCAAAACCATAACAAAATTTAAAATATATGTATAAATTATAAAATTAAATAATAACATGCTACTATACCCGATATAACAAATAAAAATGAACGTATAACTTCATTTTATAAAACAAAATCGCGTTTTTGGCTCTTGGCAACAAACAGAGTTAAAGACACTAGAAAAGTAAATTCTTCTTCATCACTATGGAACAAGGCTTTAGATACTATCTTTTTTGATACGTTATTCTCATCACTACGCACGAGTGATCACTATCAACTTTTCCTAATAGTCAAAATAGCATCTTGTAAGTATCTAAGTTTCATCCATAACTTTTTGTTACGTTATTTCCATCACTATGGAACACGGCTTTATAGGAGTTTCGCAGAAATAGAGCACGTTCTATCATCACTACAACGTGCATAACACTATTTGAAGGCCGAGTTCTATATATTTATATACTGCAAATACTCATTGTGTGTGGTCATGGAGTAAAAAATACTAAGCGGCAATTCCAAGGTTGGTTTTTTCACTTTCGAATTCCATGTAGGCTTCTCAAAAACTGATAAATTTAAAGCAGTTCGTCGTATGTATTTACTATTTAGACTGATTGGATCATTTACTCGCAGTTTCTCCAATCCGTTGGTAAAGTTGTCGATTGCTTTGATTAATTCATCAAGTGAAGATCTAGCTGTTCGATAGTGTAGAAGGTAAGGGTTTTTATTTTTTATTTTTATTTATTTATTTTTTACTACACTACCCGTTCTATTATTGGCTCAAATCTCTTTTACCTTGAATATACTTTTTTTTTTGAACTGCAAAAGTTTATTCAAACCTTTAGCAAGCGACTAGAGGCAAACAAGAACAAAAAAGAGTTTTACAAACACATCCAACAATCAGACAACAAAACATGGGACTAAAAAATACACCAATAGAGGTGACATGGGAAAGGTCCAAATCGCACATAACTTCAAACAAAAATCTCTCGAGTTCTGATTCTGAATATTTAACGCGTTCATATTCCATTCTAGTGGCTCAATCTAATTTGATGAACTAAATTCATCCCACAAAGAGATAAGAAATTATTTGTGTGCAATCAGTGAAGTTCTGAAGCATCTTTAATTATTGCATGAAAAAAAGTTAACGCCAATTAAACTTTTTTATATAAACTTGATATAAATCATCTATTTATTTTAAACAATGAGACTTAACGAAAACATGGTTGCTTTATGTTTTTCGATTTCCATCTTAACGAATGATTCAAAATAATTATGGCTAACATGTATATAAGGTGCCATTATTCATTTGACAGAAATGTTGGGAAGAGCTTGTTCCTTATTGCATTTCACATATATACTTACAGTTTCTCTCATGGGTGGGGCAACAACTAGCAAAACAGCAGGATATATTCGAGTAGGAGAATGGGGAAAACAAAGTGGAGGTCCTCAGAATGAGTGGTCTTTTGCACTTGAGAAAGATCATAAACTGGTGAAGATAACCATTGACCATGGTGAACTAATATACTCTCTCATGTTCACAACTAAATGTGGAGGTGTTTTGCATAATTCCAACAAGTTTGGTGGTTGGAATGGTGGAGACACAGTTTCAGAGGTGAGTTGATATCTTAAGTCACTAATCAATATGTAATTTTTTTATTAATCAATATTCTTTGTGGGTAAATCAGATACACTTTGAAAGTGATGAGGAAATAGTTGGGATTGGTGGAGCCATTGGTAATCGAGGTGGTAATCCAGTAATTTCGTCACTATATTTTAAGACAAACAAGAGGACACATGGACCTTTTGGTCATGCAACTGAAAATGATTTTTATTTACCATGGGACAAAGGCTCATTGGTTGGGTTTTGTGGCCTTGCTGGCTATTATATTGATGGCATTGGTGTGTATCTAAAAGCCTATGAGGAAATCTTACGGGTTGGAACATGGGGAAAAACTCAACCCGCAAGTCCACAAAATGTTTGGTCTTTCCAACTTGAGGAAAATCATAATTTGAAGAAGATAACCGTTGATCATGGTGATCTCATATATTCTCTCATGTTCACCACACAATGTGGAGGCTTAACACAAACTACTGAAAAGTTTGGTGGTTGGAATGGTGGAGAGACAGTTTCTGAGGTAAACAATTCAAAAATATTTAATATTCAATATTTTTTTATTATGGTTAATGGATATACATTGTTTCTCATGAATCATGTGATATAGAAAAAAATATTATTTATATAAAAAGCATAACATTTTATCACCTTGTTCGTAAGGTGATCAAAGAAAGTTAGTGAGAAAAAGTAAGATTGCATGAACAAGATTTGGTAAGAAAATTGAAGAATAAGAAATTATAAATTCCAAAATATCATTTTGTGTCTCTTTGGATGTAATATTCTTAGTTATGTGTGGTATGTTGAATTTGTCTTTCATGTTCAGGTAATATTTGAAAGGCACGAGGAAATAATTGCCATTAGTGGAACAATTGCGTTATCAAGGGGAAGTGATGCTGGCTTGACTATAATATCCTCGATATCATTCATGACAAACAAGAAAACTCATGGACCTTTTGGTAATGTAAGAGGGAAGCCTTTCACGGTATCATGGGATATCGGTTCTTTTGTTGGATTTTATGGTCTTGCTGGCTATTATATCGATAGCATTGGTGTCTACTTGAAAGCAGTACAGTGAGATAAGGAACAAATAACCTTTAAAAGTTGTACTATGAAATAAGGAACATATAGCCCTTTGAGGTTATGATGTCTTCTTGAAGGTTGGAGTGTGAAAAAGACCAAATAAACTTGAAGGCTTTATTACGGAGTAAGAAACAAAGAGCATGTTGAAGTTATGTTGAAGTTATGTAGTTATTGAACATCCTCTGTTTGTTTAGTGTTCATTAATATCTTAAATATATGTCATTACGTTTGCTATGCTAGTTTGCGTCTCATACTCTGAAAATAGTCATTTATTTATCATGATAATAGCATATGCTCCATTATGTTATTCCAAATAAACATATGCAAATATATTATTAATGAAGGATGATAACGAGAACTAAAAAAAATCTGTAATATTCCAAATAAAATAAAATAATTAAATAATAAATCCGGAACTTTTAGTAATTTTATTATTATTTTATATTATTATTGTCCAAAATCAAGTAATAATTAATGGGGTGTTGGTCTCGGGAAGCCAAATGACGATATTTAAATCTCCGGAGGTTAAAGTGTAATTTCAGGATCTATTTTGCAAAGGATTTTCGAAGTCAGGAGTGTTTCGTATCATTTGGGCTTAATATAAAAGAAATTATGGAAGCAGGGGTTAAAGAGTAGATATCAAACTTATTTTGTGAGGATTTTAAAAGGCAGGGTAGAAAGGGTAATTATAGATCAAAATTAAAGAATAAGGATAAAGAAGGACTAAAGGTGTCATTATGGGGAAAATTTGAAGGAGACGGTATTTAACTGTTGCATTGCCCTGTTTAACCCTAACCCTAGACACAAACTTCAGCCGCCACCCCCCCCCCCCCTATCTCTTCTCTTCGTTCGTTTTTGTCACCGCTTCTTTCTTGGTTGAAGAAAAAGACCGACGGTGGGACGTCGGGAATAAAGAAGGGCAAGCCTTAGCCGCCAATAGCTACCGTTGTTGTTCGCGATTTTGGTTGTACGTCGTCGCCGCAGCTAGTGCTACTGTCCTCCGACCATTTCACGGCACCAGGTGGGTGGCTACGTTCGTTTGGCATATTTCGTCGAGTAGTGCTATTGCAAATTATTTTATGCTCGTTGTTGTTGGCCGGAAATATAAGGGAACGACCATGGCCGCCAGCCATGGTGACTGCCACCATCTACCACCACCTACCACCATAAGGGTGGCTGTGGGTGTGTATTTACTATGTTATTGTGTGTGTGTGTGTTTATTGTAATATCGTTTGTAATCGTGCCGGAATAATCAATAGAAAAATCCATAACCACCACTGTAAGGTGGTGGCTGCCGCCTCCTGCCGCCACCAGCCGCCGTGTTGGGTGGCGGTGTGCTTTGTTGTGTTTTGGACTCGTTTGGGGATGCTTGGACAAAGTAAGCCCAATGAAACCTAATTGACCTATAAGCCCAACCATTTGATTAATGGGCTGCTAATTGGGTTGGAAACCCTAATTAGGGTTTGGAAAACCCTAATGCCTTGAAACTCTAATTTTGGGATTAATCGGGACCACACGAGAATTATTTAATTAACCTATAATAATAATTAATAATCATTGACAGTTAACCTAACGCAATATTAGACTTAATGGATCAACTCCTTAATGGGTTAAGTTAGAAACACTTAACTGTAATCGTCATTTCATGTGGAAACCCTAATTTCACTTGGGCCTTGAGTTGGGCCTTTCTATTGGTCTTTGGTGATTGGACTATTAATGGGCTTTCAAAGAATAAGTAAATGGACTAAATAATTGTATGGGTTTTAGGATAAGGCCCATGTGAGAGTCTTGGGCCCAATTTGGAAAATTGGGCCATAACTCGGCCTCTATGATTTGATATTGGGCCATGGGAATACCAAGAGTGTGGACTAGAATATTAGATGGGTCATAAGGAAAGACCATGTAAAGGTCTAGGAGCAATTTTAAAAATTGGGCCATATGTTGGACTTTGGCCCACTACTTGACTATTGGACCTTTGGAATGTCAGTTGGACCTTAGGCTTGGAACCTAATTATTAATTGGGTATTGTTTGATGTTGACAGTTCGGGAATTTGGAAACCAACAGCTGGTGTTTTATCCATGAGACTTCAACAGAGTCACGTGAGTTCTCCTCACTATATCAACAGGGTCTAAGGCACCAATATCGACCCTTATCGGATTTGCATCCAGGTTATTGCATGATATGTTGATTGATGTACATCCTGGTAGTTAGGATGATCGCTATATTAGTGATCGGTTAGATTAGTATCCTAGTTATAGGATGGTTGTTATGTTAGTGATCGGTTAGATCGGTATCCTGATTATAGGATGGTTGCCATGATTAGTGATATGTTAGATCTGCATGTTACTTGTTTATATGTATGTACACATGTTTGTTGGTTTGGGGGAAAGGGTTGAGGTAGGTCTTGATGTGTACAGTAGGCCAAGACACCTCGGGCGGACCGGGTACACTGCAGGCTCGAGTTGGACAAATCTATTCAGGCCGAAGGCCCAATAAGTTGTTCGGAAAGGATGAAGGCCCCGAGATGGCAGTCCAGATGTGCTGAGGGCTTAAAGAGCGGTACAGATAGATTAAGGACTGGGAGTCGTTCCAGTCAGACTGATGGCTCATTATACATGTTGTATCTGTTTGCTTATATGTTATGTGATATGGTGATATTTGTATGGCATTCGTATTTTGGGGGTAATTCAATAAGCCTTCGAGCTTACATTTATTTATTATTGTTTCAAGTACTTCTGATGATCACGGGAAAGCGAATGCATGATCGTGCACCTCCTTATATTTTCCCGATTGATTCCGGGGATTCTCAGATGTCTAACTATTTTGAAAACCAATTGTAATGACTTAATGGTTTTAAATCTTTTAAAAAGTTTTATATTGGCTTGAATTTTTGGGATGTTACAGGTTGGTATCGGAGCCTTGGTTTGAGTGAATTGGAGGAACACTCGTGTGAATCCAGTCTCAAATCAAGAAAAATATTTTAAAATGATTTTAAAATGTTTTCAAAATAAGAAAAGGAGGATGTAGAGTATACGATCAGTCGTAGTTAGTAAGTAGACCTAAAATACCATACAGTTATTTGATATTGTGATATGTTAGAACAACATGCTAGTACTAGGCTAGGGATCTTCAGGAATTTCATGATAGAATTGCCTAATTATATGATGCCTGATAGCCTAGGGTTTCCTTATATGGAATTGACATCATTACTGTAGTTGCTTAGTATATGCATCACGGTCGTACATAACTAAGATCTTCTAGCCTGAGAATGTTTGGTTTGGTCTTATTTTCTATTCTTGTTTGATTAAGGGCTTAGGGTAGGATCAGGTATTCGAAAGTCTATAGGGTCCAACGTTATGTATGACTAGCATACACGAGTGTTGTAGGGTTGGTGGATGTTTCATGGATGGGTGAGTTGTGAGAGGCTAGGAGGCCAGTTATGAGATATCTAGCATTCCTCTAGGAGTGAGGATTGAGCACTCGTTATGTTTATGTATATTGTTAGGGAGTTGTGGTGATACTTGAGACAAATATGGGTACGTGCGGAAGATAGTATGGGCCCGTACTACTGAAAGCATAGGACCCATATGCATAGCAAGCAAGTAACAACCCCTAGGGTTTAGTTGGAGTTGGTTCCCTGTCATTATATGGGTTATCAGAGATCTTTATGGTGTATTACCAGAATGGTGGTGATGAGACGTCTTGAGAACGGATCTGGGTTAGGATCGGGCCAGCATTGTCATAGGATCATGTCATTGAGATCATCCAGGAGGAGGTGATCGAGATTGTCCGGGGTCAGATTCCGAAGATGCCTTAGAAACCCTCCAAGGTCTTACACCTAAGTGTCTCGGGAACCCCCCCCCCCCCCCAAGGTCTTTCATGCAAGTATCACAAAACTACTAGCATACCATACTGCATGTAATCCAACTAGCATAATACATATCACTACATCACTAGTGTATCACATATCACAAAATGGGCCGGCCTTGGTGCCTTTGACCCATTGGTATGGTGAGGAGACTCATCTCACACTGTTGGAGTCCCGCGGATAAAGCTCTAGCTGTTGGTTGATAGATTCCCTGTAACACTAGTCAAAATTGGTCAATAACAATCACATGTGATTATATCAATCATGTAATGTGATTTTATTAAACTAGTAATGTGATAAATGTACTATGTATGTCACACCCCCAAACCAAGGATGACGAAAACATCCGAGGGTGGAGGACTTCATGTATAGTATCACAATAACGAGTATAATAGTGCTCAAAGTACAAACAACCAACATAAATATAATTGAAAAAGTTACATCATAGTCAAAGTTTACATGTTTCTAAATCAACTACATTATGTTGACAAAAATGCAATATTTGACGCCTTAGCGTTCCATCCTAAAAAGTCGCTGTTTACCTAATTTACGGATTCCCTGAGAGTACAAGTAGTTTTGAAAAAAAAGTGTCAACAATTAAGTTGGTGAATTCATAAGCTTTTAGAATGAAATGTTGAAATCCTTTCTTGTAAAAGTAGTGTTTGTTCTAGAAAATCTCATATTTTCTCTCAAAAGTGTATTGTAGTCTAAAATACCAAGACTAATAGTATGCTAGTATTTTTCCATTTAAAATTTGAATCATCCAAGTTTAATTGGGCATAAAATTGTTAGTTTAAATGGAAATCCCATAAATCTTATGTTTGTTAATACCCCATGCGAGTTATTATAACAATACTATGACTTAGTTGGCCTCATATACGACGTTCTTCAGGCGTCGGAATGTTAATAACATTTGTCACCCTAGACCTGCCGGTCTAACTGTTGCATGCAACTAAGGTGTGGGATTGTCAAACCCAATATAGATCTATACACAACTATCACGTTCTCCCTACAAGAGATTCTAGTTATAATTAAAGGACTTTTGTTGCACTACTTGGAAGTAACGTAAAGAAAATGTCTCACAAATTTATTCATTAACAGATTTACGTAATATAATAATGAAAACCCCTTTTTGTAGAAATGCATTCTTTTCTATTGTATATGTAAAATAAACCATACCTATTATAGTGTATCCAAATGTTTGTAGTGTGTAGTATTCACTTTCTATCTAGTAGAATGTATCTAGAAAAACGATTCTATGCTCTCCATGCTTCATAATGCATTAATTGTAATGATGAAGAATTATTACAATTTAGTGACCATTTTTCTGTAACATAATGTATCCAAACAGAAAACTCATGCAGAATATGAAGATATCAAGGTTTTACACTTTGCTCGACATGATACAAAGTGTTAATAAAGTTGTAATCTGTGAACTTGTTTTTACCATTTTTGCACTGATTTAAAAAAATCACAGAAAATTCATACGAGATCAAAAACTAGATCCGTAAACTATGAGATTTTAGAAAATGTGTCTAGTTTGTTCACAAATTTTATTATGATTTTTAGAAGTCCCTAACTGGTGTGAAAATGTTCATATTCACAGACTAGTCCAAATTCGTAGCTATAGTGATAGGCAATTTTGTAATAATCACCATAAATTGTAGAAAAATCGTATGGACATGTGCAAGTAGTCATTTTAAAGGTATAACCCTAAAATATTTGCACCTAGTACAGTTTTGAAAAATAAAAATTTTAAGATGTTCAAAGCATCTCGTGAATGAATATTAAGTTTTCTGTTGAAAGTTGTTGTTTGAGTTTAGTTATGTTGTTGGTGTTTTATCTTGTATTCCCCCCAACCCCCCCCCCCCTAAAACTTGAAGAAAACATGAAAATGTGGGGGTATGAACTCACCTTGAGTGATTTCAGTAGATGGATGATGAAGAAAAGAAGTGTTCAACTCAAGAACACTTAGAAGATTGCTTGAAGATTCAAAGATCTAACACAATTATGATGATGTTGGTGTAAGATATCCATGATTTAAGTAGAAAGAAAACAGGAATAATCATGTAAGGAGTGATATTACTTACTAGGAGTAGATGAAGAGCTTGTGATCAGCCTTGAATTTTTGAGATTTAAGAGGGATAGTGAGAGAGAATGAGTTTTTGCTTCTTTGTGGAGATGAGTGTAATGGGAGGAGATATAAGAGTTTTCCAGCCTTTGATCAAGAGTATGGCTGGAAAAATGGTGGGAAAAGGATAATGATTGACTAAGTATGGGGGAATAGTGGTTGGGTATGGCCCTGGAGTGAGTGTAGGAGGTTGCTTGTGTCATAACTTATAGGTAAAGTCAACACTCCACCTATATATCTTACAAACTACATTTTATTCTTAGGCAATGATTTTCCCTCAAAAATGATTAAAATATGAGTTTAGGGAGGTTAAAATGATAAAAATACGAATTTGGTGAAAAATCCCCGTCAAAAACGGGCTTAACAGGCGAATGTAGTAAAAAACCGGTCACTTAGGAGCGA